TGAACAAAGTTATAATACCCTTGTGCACAAGTGCGCTCGGGTATAAAAACTTCAGCGAAGAAAGACTCTTAACATAGTTGACGGCGAAGAAAGACGCGTTAAAATATTTGACGGCGAAGAAGGGCGCGTAAACTTATTTTCGCGGTCAACTATGTTTGCGGGTGTAATAGTATGTACATTCCGTTAATAGTTTTTGGGGAATAGTGCTGAAGTGGTAGTCCTTCGCCTACTATAAATCTATGATTACGCGTCTTTCTTCACCAAAGTTTTTCTTAAGCGCCTTTTTTCGTAAAACTTTGTATGCGTCTTTTTTCGCCGTCGAAACACTAGAGCGCCTTTATTCGTGTCTTGTGACGTTATGTTTATTTTTCAATTTTTGAAATTTTTCAAAAAAAAAATTCATTCCCTAACAAATACCATAGAAACTTATGGCCATGAAAAATAAAGTAGCTTTATAAATTGAAAAATTTAAGAAAACGTCAGTTTTTAAAGCTCTTTAAACCAACTTTATTTTTTATGAATAAGGCCATAAGTATATATTCAGTTTTATTATTTTTAACATTGCTTAAGGAACAGAATTTATGCACATATACATACGTACGTGTATGAAAACATAAAAATATTCCTTTTTTAAAGTCGGTTAAGAAGGAACAAGCACCAGTTCAATGTATGCTTAATCTAGTAGCAGCTACTGTGACATATATTTTTAGTATGGAGAAAATTAAAGAAATTAAACCAACCGTCACCTAATATTTTTATCCGCGGGGAGTCCCTTAAGGGCACCTGCCGGCTAAAAGTAAATGGGTGCTGATATAATACTGTAGGGGTATTCTCTGAGTCTTGCAAAGCGCTTGCACGGTGCACAGATTGCACGGTAAAAACCGGTTTTTGTATGGGACAGCTTTGCAAACCGTGCAATCCGTGCAACGTGCAAGAATTTTGCAATACTCAGAGAATACCTCTAGTGTGTATTGAGGCGGAAATGGTGGAAGGCAGAGATTTAAACTTAAATGTCTTTTTAATGCCTATAACTTTTAAATAAATAAAAAAACTGTATCCTACTTCTGTCTCGCTCTAGCTACAAAGTGGCGAACAGTGTTCAAAATGCATTTAATATATATACATGCCAGTTTTTTTGCCCAAAGTTAAAATATTTTGCAGGCTTAATGGCAGCAGAAGACCGCACATAGATTTAAAAAGGCCTTGCGCATAAATAGAAAAAAACCTAAAGCTTATACTTAGCTAGAAAAAAACGGATTAACTAAACGCGCGTGCTGCCATTAATTTCTACAAGTACAATATTGACCTAATCAATCAAGCTTGTTAGAGCTGGAAGAAACCGAAATAAGGCCTCACGCTTAGCACTTCACGACAGGCGACAACATTCTTCATCTCAAATAAATCATGCAAAATGTTAAGAACGCACACACACCCGTACTAGTGCTAAATTGTGGAAGGCTTTGAGTGATATTTCCCATATTTTCGTGTGCGGGCCCTCCATCAACAACCTACATAGCCTTTGTGAGGATGTAAAGGTGTCCAATTAATGCCATTAACCAAATAACTCGGGTACACACAACATCAATAAATGTTTACATAGAGATGGATTGGATGTTATTTTTTGTAAGAATTTGTGGAAAGTAGTTATTTTGCATGGCGTTTAGGCGAGAAGGGGGCGACACTTTTTATACGAAATTCTTGTTGCGTTAATAGTTGATGGCTTTTAAGTCGGTTGAAGTAATAGAGCGACAGTAAATAAAATTTTCTGTTAAAATTAGGTAAATAATTTATAGGCTTAAAACCTTAAGAAACAGCAACTGCTTAGTTTTATTCATACGGCCCATTGAATAATTAAGCTCTCGTTTGTCCGTTTTTCGATTTGAAGGCATAAACAAAAGCAGATTTTCTCTAACCAAATTTTCTTTATACATAATAATTTTCTATTAATCAAGCAGATCAAGCAAAGGACTTTAATCCAGGTGAATAAAACTTGGTTGAAACGAATAAAAATAGTAGAATCAAAAAATTATATTTCCACATCTTATCAAATCAGATAATATTTCGTTTCAGCTCCAGACCGAAATATGATATTACCACGATTATATATTATATGTATATATTATATGTAAATTTAAGTACTGACTTATTATCTCTTCATCCAACGGAATATATGTATGTATATTTTTTGAAGTGAAACTTCTTTAGAGGCGGTTGGTTGGTTGGTTGGTTGGGAGTAAATTGGCAAATGGAAGGGAAATTGCACACGGAAATGGTGCAACGGAATTGGTTGCGTTAAAAGGTTAAAGAATAACACTTGGAAAATTACCAATACAAGAATGAAAGTAAAGGTGAATACGTACATAGATAAAAAAAGGATAAAGGCAAAGGTAAAACTAAAAACAAAAACAAAGATGCTTAAAGATAAAGGTATGAATGAAGGCCAAGGTAAATTTAAACACTTTACCTATATATGGGCAAAGGTGAAGGGGAATATGTAGATGAAGAAAATGATAAACATAAAAGTAAAAATAAAGATAAATATAAAGAAAAAGATAAGTATTAGGATACCGATAAAAGTAAAGATGAAGATAGGGGAAGAAAGATTAAAATAAAGGTAATTATAGAGAATAGAATATAGATAGACACAGAGACTCTATTTTATATAATAGCCGATATTTTTATCGGTTTTGTTATCGATATTTTTATCGTTTTTGTTATCGAAATTTGTATCGATATTTTTATCGATTTTGCTATCGAAATGTTTAGGAACATTGGGTTTGTTATCGATATTGTTATCGGTATTTTTATCGATTTTGTTGTCGATGTTTTTATCCATTTTGTTATCGATATTTTTGTTTGTTTTTGTTATCGATTTTGTTACCAATTATTTTTTTATTTTGTTATTTATATTTAAATCGATTTTGTTATTGATATTTTTATCGATTTTCTAATCGATTTGGCTACCAAAATTATTTGATCAATTTTGCTAACGAAATTTGTATCCAAAATCTAATCGATTTTGTTATCGATATTTTTATCGGTTTTGTTATCGATAGAGGAGAAAGATAAAAATGAAGATAGAGGAAAACAGAATAACGTATGTAAATGTAATTAGAATGAACAGGGGTAGAGGTAGGGATCTAGATAGAAAAAAAAAAACAAAAAATATAACCTTAAGCAAAAGCAGATGTTGTATGTATGTATGTGTGTTGTTATGAGACAAAATAGATATGTAACGTAAGTTTCACTTCTCCAGTGTGACCCAGGCGCGCCTACCTTTTTTTTAACTGCATTTAGACAAAGATGAATTATACGGCGAAAGCCTTTCTACAACTTTCCACTTTTTAAAATTTTCTAAATGTTTTATGATACTAAAATTAAATTAGATAGATATAAATAAATACATACCCAAAATTTTCCTTAAATTTTTTGTTAAAAACTTTATTATTTAAAAAACCAACTGATTATTTTATTAATTCTTACATTAGGGTGATCCAAAAATTCATGTGAAAATGTAAAGTCGAAATTTTTACTTTCTCATCCCCTAGAATAGTTTTATACCGAAAAAAATAACCAAGTTTATTGTTTTGACATAAAAAAATATTTGAGATTTCCATGTATTTTATATGGGGAAAACCCCACTTTTCGTATAAATTGTATAGAATTCTTGAAAATCAATATTTTTCGATCGGATAACCCTATTTCTCTTCAGGAGATTCCCAATAACAATTTAACAATTTTTTCATAGTAACTATATTTTATGGGTCCGCCAAAAACACCAGAAAATTAAATAAGAGGACCAATTAAGTACCTTTAGTATTCAAAAATTGTTATTGGAAGTCTCGAGAAGAGAACTAGAGTTTTCCGATCGAAATTATTGATTTTCAAGAATTACATTCCAAATCTAGTGGTCTAAAAGTGGTTTTCCCAAATAAAATACATGGAAAACTTTTATTGAAAAATAATTGATTGTAAGTTTTCGTATTGTATCGTATGTAAGAAAAACGTATTAACGAAAAATGACACTGAAGATGGCACAACGCCGAAACCGGTTTATCTGCAAACCAAACTTGACAAGGGATGACAAAATTAGTTTTCCCTTTAATTACTTTCGTGAAACTGGCTATTAATTATTTTCTGCAAACATATCTTAATGAAGCGGACCAATGATTTTATATATATATATATATTTTTTTTTTTTTTTTAATTTCACCCAAATACTTGTTATTCACAACACATCGATACCCCAGCGCAGCGCTGCTCCTTAATCGCTCTTCGTTTTTTTCACCACTGGGGAATTTAATTGACACCGCTGTCCGCAAGCTAAACTGGCATAAAAGTGGAGAAAATATCGCATGCGACAAATTTCTAACTGCGCCCAGCCGCTTTCAAGCTTTTGGTCATCGGATCGACCCATTTTAAAATTCTTGAAACTTATCTGAGCTCTAAACTTCAGTTAAGCTGTTGGTGGAAATGGCCTGTAAGAGAGAGGCTGTTTACTGATTCAGTTGCTTATTTGTCTAAAGGCGCCAGCAGTCAACGACGTAGCGTAAACGTACGTTGGCGGACGTAGCAGCATATAAAATTTACTTTTGATAGAGAGAAGCAGTACACGTCACGCGTAACCAACGCACGTACACGATGGTGAGTTTTCATTTGCATGGCGCTCTCATAAGTTTGATCGTGTCAGCTGACACGTTATCGTACGTTTACGTCATCGATGAGTGTGTGCACTTTAAAACATATTGAAAACTGACGGTAATTTTTTCTTCACTTAATTCAAATCACTTCTTTCTCTGAATGTGTCAGCCTTATTTTTAAGTCACCCATACTATTTATATTATCCTAAATCAAACACACGCTTAATCGTTCATATAAAATTTTAAAGCATCTTATATCATTTTGCGATCTGAGAAGTTTACGCAGTTTAGTTTACTTTTTTACTTTCGAAAGTTAATTAAGAAATATATTCGTATCAGCTACACATTAATTATTTATTACTAAAGCTTTCCATTTAACGTATTGTTAGTCCTTCCACCGCCATACGCCATACGCAAAAATCGCACTACAATCGCCGCCACTCGATGAGGACTATTCAGATGGGCGTGATGCTTTTCACGCTTCAATATATGAAGTTCAAAAGTGTGATTGTTTGCGCGTAAAACGTTAATAACTTCCTTTTGCTTCTCCAAATTTATATAATCCGAAAGTTCAGCTTTCAGCACAAGATAGTGAATATTGCGCACTCGCTCGGCCAGTGCGTTGACCAGTTCCGGCTGAGTGAACAACATTTCGACCAGCTTGACGCGATTGTCGCGTGCAAAATAATACATATCAGAATTGCTTTGCACACGTCGAACGCTGCGCTCCAGCAAAAATTCACAATGCTCTAATTCCACCGACTGCTCAGAGCCACGATATAGCAAATCTTTTAAACTCTCATAAGTATAGAGGGGCGCTGGCTCTTGCAAACGATCCTCTTCATTGAGCGCTTTTTCAGTCATTACGGACGTCAAGGCGATTTGTATATTTGGTGGGAAGTATGGAGTGGTTAGTGCGTCGATTGCAATGATCATATCGACTTTGGTAGGAAAGAGTGCGGCATAGTAGAAACTAAGCGCAGCTCCCAATGAATGACCAAGAAATGATATTTTACGCCACTTGTAGTAGCGAACGACACGATGCACTACGCGAATAAAGTCGTTGAAGTGGTAATAAAAACCCGTAGGAAAGTGTGAAGAACGTCCATGGCCGGGCAAATCGATGGCCAATAGGGGTCGGTGTGGCGCTATAAGTGGGGCCAAACGTGCGAAACTGCCGGCATTATCTTGCCAACCATGCAGGGCCAGTAGCGGTCGAAGGTGTCGACTGCCATACCAGCAACCAGCAATGTGTCCCCAGGGCATGGGAATTTGCAACTCGACGGGCTGTAAAAAGTAAAAAGAGGGTAAAGCAGCGCTAAGCTCGCTTGTGCGTTAATTCTGTTTACTTACTTGGCTCTCCGACATTTCATACTCTTTAAATTCACGCCTCCACGGAACTGCAGTTGAATTTCGAAGTACACACTGTATGGTTAGTGACAGACTAAAACGCTCCCAATTGATAAATTAAATGAATCTCATAATCGCATTCCAAGTTAAAAAAAATATTAATTTATTAACCATCTTAAAAATAAAAACAAGTTACTTTTACCTTTTGGCAAAAATAAAACATACATTTTTTACCAACGAACTTTGATCTCATTTAATGTATTAGTTTGCACAAGCTCATATTATGTACAGTATTGTGCCAGTTTTATGAAACTTAAAGTCAGAAAATACATACAAATATATATATTTTTTTTACACATAAATAAAATATGGTTATTCTAGAAACAGACAACTACTACTACTAGACTGGTTCAAAAAATTCTACTATCTTTTTTTCAAAATGCCCTGTAAAATACTTTCGAGGCAGTGAAAAAAACGCCTGTAACCGCCTAATCGATTTTGACCGAGTTCAAGAAATCACGCCAGTCGTTTCCCTTCTGTGCCAACTGACGCCAATTGGAAATGCCTAGCCCTTCTCCACTTGGCCTTTCGATCGTAGGGGGCCTCCCTCTTCCTCTGTTACGCGACCGCGTTGAATACTTTCAGAGCCGGAGCGTCGGTGTCCATTGGAAAGTGATGGCTAAGCCAGCGGAGCCGCTGCATTTTAGTTCACTGCACTATGTCTATGACATACTTCAAGAGCCGCCTAATCGGATGTTGTCATTGTCCATGCTTCTGTCTAATCAGTCCAAAGTAGCACTTGTTGGCCAGAGTGATTCTGCGTTGGATTTCGATACTGGCATTACTATGCTGGTCTCAAGTAAACGAAATTCTCTACTCTCTCGAATTTATAACTGTCAAAAGTGACGTGGGTACCAAGGTGCTTATTCGCTGACTGTTTGTTTAATGTGACGAGATACTTCGTCCTGTCCTCGTTCACCACCAGACCCATTCGCTTTTCGTCTCTATATAATCCCGAAAAGGCAGAACAGACGTAGCCCTTGTTTTTACCGAAAATATCGTCCTGAGCAATTCAGTTCTGCAGGTCTAATAATCTTCTCCAGCATTAGAAATCAGACGAACGAGACTTGAATAACAATTGAATAACAATTACACGGCTTAAAAATAACAAAGCTGCTGGGGCTGATGGCTTGCCAGCCATCATAGTCGGGCGATGGGATATCGACTCCATCATCATCGACCGGGGGCTCGGGTTTGCCTTCTGCACAGCTTTCAGTGCTGGTAGAATTCAGTAGGATGGAAAAGTGTTTCCTCCATAATTCAAGCACGTTCTTGACATCGGTACCGTGCCGTAAGTTGCCTAACTATCTAATAAAACTTTCGGATGTTTTTCCTAACCTGGCAGCATTTCAAGCTCTTCACACTCCCGTTCTTTGGCCTCTTTTTATTGCGGCAAAAACGTCTCGCCTCCGTCTTTAGTTCGCTATACCGGTCCCACATCGTTCACGTTGCGCCCGATCGCAGCGTGGCCCCGTAAGCGGCATCTTTTTCTCTGCAGCTTCTTGAAATTGGACTACTTCTTTGGAGTATCAACTCAATGACCAGGAAATGTGGGTCGACTGCTCGCATATGTCGGTTTGCTGAAGAGTGCTCTCTGGGAGCAGGTTTGAGCATTTAAAAAAAAATAAAAATTTCTTAGTTTTATAAAAATTTACAGTGATTTTGACAGCTGTCTACTCTGAGGTTTTTAATTTGATATACAATTCGTGATCAGCGTGTCTAAGAACATGATGAGTGGAATTTTTCAAAAGATTTTATTTTAATTGCGTTGTCAGTCCAATTGACTGCTGTCAACTGTCAAAATATTAATTTGACGTAAAATTCGTGACTAGCGTGTCTAAAAACTTAATAGGTGGCATTTTCAAAAAGAATTTATTTTTAGAGAAATTGACAATGAACTAGACCGCTGTCAACTGTCAAACTATAAATTTATGGCATATGCGGCAAAGCTTAGAATTTTTTTTACATATATATATATTGCAATTGTTGCGATTGTTGCAGCTGTGGCGGCTGTCGGAATGGACAAGATTCCGAGCGGAAGCATCGCTAGATATCGTGCTGGGCAGGCGGTCTGAAAGGATGAGTTCCAGCGCCGCACTGCCTGGGAGGGTGGAAAGGACTAGTTTCCACTCCGCGCTTTCGCTTCTCTTTATTTAAGTAATTACAATCCAGTAGGCTGTGTTTCCGAGCCGCACGGACACTGGATTTCGTATTGGGTAGTCGGTCTGAGAGGACGAGTTCTAGAGGATTTAGCATGACAGTAATATTGTAATACTACAGTTTTATCAGAATTATGAGAGTCCTATTTCTTTGTGTAAAACATGGCCTTTCCGATCACTGGGAGTCGTAGGTACTTTGCATTCGGCAAAGCGAAATTTGGTTTAAAAATTAAAAAAAAAAAAAACGATAAATAAAATAAATAATTAAAATTTAAAAAAAAAAATTTAAATAAATAAAGTAAAAACCAAAATATATAATCAACTTTGACATGTTAACGGTACAAGTACATTGATAGCTATTTTTAATGCTTAAAATACTTTTGGGAATATAAATTTTTTATATTTTTTTGCACAATACTATAGCCATAGCTTGCATGTACTATGCAATGTGTGTATGTACAGTTGTCCACAAAATAATAGGAGTGCGATATTTTGACCAGTTTTGGCTATTTGTCTTTTATTTATTTAATGTTTATAATTTTTTTATAAAAGCCTAGCTGGCTATACAACAAACACCATATAAATTCAGATTTTAAACTTTGTATAAAAATTATAAAAATTGTGCAATTTTTCACCCAAATTTCAAACTTTTTAATCAGAATCTTTAGAAAAAACTCTGGTATGCAGTTTTGTAGCACATTCAATTCTAGTCTAAAGAAGTGCAAGTTTCAAGCGGCTAAAAAATTCCGTTGATTTCTGAGAATTTTTTTGGTTAAAGGTGTTTCAGGTTTTTTCCATACAAAGTATGTCGACAATTTTCTTTTATATGGAGGACACTGCCAGCAAAAAAATTGCCAAAAATCAACGGAATTTTTTAGCCGCTTGAAACTTGCACTTCTTCAGACTAGAATTGAATGTGCTACAAAACTGCATACCAGAATTTTTTCTAAAGATTCTGATTAAAAAGTTTGAAATTTGGGTGAAAAATTGCAAAATTTTTATAATTTTTATACAAAGTTTAAAATCTGAATTTATATGGTGTTTGTTGTATAGCCAGCTAGGCTTTTATAAAAAAATAATAAACATTAAATAAACAAAAGACAAATAGCCAAAACTGGTCAAAATATCGCACTCCTATTATTTTGTGGACAACTGTATGTACATATGTAAGTATATCACAGAATGCTCACGTACAAACATACAAAGTATTTTTTATGAGTTAATTCATAAACATTAATTACAATCTAAATACACGCATGCGTTTTCAAGTTCACAATTTACCCTTTGCCACCGTTTCGTTTTTGTTTTCAACACCTGGCTGCTCGGCGCGTACAACTGTCAATGGGCGGTGTCGCTTCAAAAACGATGTGATCAACTCTGCCACAACCGGTGCCTCGTTCAAATGCACATGATGCTTGCCATTGGCAATCACATGTGTTTCAAAGTTTGGATTATGCTTTTCTAATAAACGAATTAACTGCATCGATTGATCGTCCATATAGTTTGAAGCACCCCCTTTTATGACCACATAAGGAACTGCAGCTTCACTAATACGCATAGCCATGGCTTCAAAAAGTGCATGGTCTCCATCCAAAGCCGTTATGTACTTAAGGCGTGTGTCGCGCGAAAAATAGTATCGCTCGGGATATTTCTGTGACCTGCTCAAATTCCTTTCCAAAATATATTTACAATTTTCCAGATCCACAGAGTAGCCCGACCCCTTATGCAGCAATTGCTCGCACTCGGCAAACGTATAGTTTGGTGGTTCCTGCTGGGATGTGTCATCGACTAGGCGCTGATTATCTTGCAATGCTTTGCCCATCGCATGTCGAATATATTCTATTTTGTCTTGTGGCTTCAAATCAGGTCTTTTGATGGCATCAACCCCTATTAGTACATCCACTTTTGTGGGGTATAGTGCTGCGAAGAAAAACCCTACCGCTCCACCCATGGAATGACCCAGCAATGAAATTTTCGGCCAGTTGTATACCTTCATCAGTCGCAGGACAGCACGTACATATTCTAGAGAATGGTAAACTGTTCCAGGTGGTAAATGTGTAGAATGTCCATGTCCGGGAAGATCGATGCAAAGCACACTGCCAGTTGTTTGTATGAGTAGGGGTGCCAATTTGGCAAAGCTGCCACAATTATCGAGCCAACCGTGTAAAGCTAGCAGCGGTCGAACTGTATGATCGCCATACCAACGTCCCGAGATATGGCCCCATGGTACGGGAATTGTGATTTCTGTAAACTGAATAATAAACGCAAATTCAATGCTGAGTATGAAATTTACTTTGAAAACTTATAATTTAAAAAACGCTGAATGAAAAAAAATAGTAATTTGTACATTTTTTACTTGCTCTTATTTCTGCGCGCCCCCTTAAGCTTAAGCTCACATTTTAACATCAATCAAGTACATAATTTCAAAATCGAAGCTATCAACGCAAACAAAATTATTGAACTCAACAATTCTGAACATATTTATTTGTAAAGATAACATTTGGGCCTTCAACAGTCAACCACCCAGCCTATACAAGATTCTTTATCTTCTATGAATACATATGTATAGTAAAATTTTAAAAAGCCGACGTCTTTACATTATAGACGTTAAAGAAAAATTAATATGGAGAATATTTATTAAATATTTACAACAACAGAAGCCAAAACAACAATTTTTAGAATTTTTGTCTGTCTGTATGGTTGTACGCGCATCACTCGAAAACTAATGCATGGAATTGAATGCAATTTTCACCGATGCATTGCTAGAGGTCTAACTTAAGAGTTGCCACCTGCGGTTTA